TTTTTTTTTTTTTTTTTTTTTTTTTTTTTTTTTTTTTAAGGCAGGGGCCATATGCTGATCTTCTCTTTCTCTGTATCGTTCCAGTTTTAACGGATGTCCCGCCGAAGGACACTGCAGCAATTTGGGACTTGGCCCCAGGCACTTCCGGCCTGGTTGATCTCGGGCCACAAAAATTTAAAGGAATAATAACGTATTATTAGAAAGAAAAGCACAGAGTACGGGCATCGTCATCATTTCTTTTCCGGTTTTTTTTTTTTTTTTTCCCTCCTTTACTTTACTTTTCCTTTCTGGTATGTTTGTTTTCAGGGCAATGGGGACAAAAAAAAGCCCAATGAAATGTACCTATGTCGACGTTCATCCTGCCTGGATAGCCAAAGGATGTAACGCCACGCGCTGTGTACCGTCGTCCCCCGAATAAAGCACATGGACTCAAAAAAGGCAAATAGAAGAAAAAAAAACAGAAACGCAAATAATAATAATAGTAATAATAATAATAATAATAAATAATAATAATAATAATAATAATAATAAAGCACATGGTCGTTACTGGTATAGCATTATCTGCTCTGCTGTCGGGATCGCTACTTGCCCTGAAATAGATAGTGAATAGATATAGATAAGACCCCTACCGTTCATATCCCGACGACCACGCTTTATTCGGAACGAGGAGCATATGATTATTTTTAGGGGTAGCTTCAGTAGAGTCACAGAAAAAAAAAGAAAAAGAGGAGTTATAATTGCACTAAATTGGGCAAGATACAGTTTGCAATTGCAGTTCGGGCACCCTACACCTGGCCAGAAAGCTGGGTTGTATACATTGCAGGACCGAACTGCAATTCGATCCTGTATCTTGGCTAGAAAGCTCGGTTGTATACATTGCAGGACCGAACTGCAATTCGAAACTGTATCTCGGCCCATTTAGTGCAATTATAGCTCTTTTGTGTGCCTTCCGTGTAGTTTCCCCTTATTTTTATTGACGGTTTTTTTAATGTGGGTGGGGTGGGTCGGGAATATATCATGAACCTGGTCGTTTTGGGGACCAAGTCCATCGCATGCTGGCCAACAAAAGAGAGCAGCAGCAATCAAGAGAATGAAGCGTTCTGAAAACTCAAAAAAAGGAAAAAAAAAAGAAAAAAAAAAGGGAAGATAGAAAAAGAAATCATAGCGCACAGTGATGTCAGTCAGGCAGGCAGGCCAGCTACACAAGTGAAACGATGTCTTTTTTTTCTTCATTATTTTTCACATTCCCCTTGAGAAATAGTCGTTAGGGCAAAACTCAAAAAAGCAAATAAGGAAAACGAAATCATAGCGCACAGTGATGTGAGGCAGGCAGGCAGGCAGGCAGGCAGGCAGGCAGGCAGGCAGGCAGGCCAGCTACACAAGTAAAATGATTTTTTTCTTCTTTTTTTTCCCCTCTATTATATATATTTCATATCATATCTATATACGTCATAATACGGTCATATATATAAAATATCATTTATAATATTTATATATCATATATATGAAACTCCGACGAAACAGTTTGTCACAGCCCCTCGTTTGTTGTCCTCTTCTCCTTCTCCCTCTCTGCCTACGGTTTACCGCCCAGTTCTATTTGACGATATATATATATATATATATATATATATATATATATGATATAAGATTATATATGCGTTGGACTGTTTTTCTGCTTCTCTTTTCTTTTCCTTTGTTGTTTTTATTTTCTGCTTCTCTTTTCTTTTCCTTTGTTGTTTTTAATGTCTTCTTTGAGCTTCATTCCACTGTACAATATCCTAAATGCACCTACAGTGAAGCGTCATCCACATACATTCCCACTTGCGCAACACATTTTGAATGTATCCGAACTCAAAACTGATCCGGATTCATTTGGAATGCTGTGTGTCGTAGAGCGAGGTCCTGTTTTTGGTTAAGTATGCTATATGTCCGCCATTTCATCTCTCTCCTGTCCTTGCTTTACTTATCCAAGGGCATAGTCACAGTACGACTTTCTATGATGTACCTGACCGCAATAACAGCCACATAAAGTGCCAGTTATTTTGTGCATACTAAAAGTTCCTCTTGAAGAATCTTGGATGCACCACCCCAAAAATCAAAGTATGCACCACCCTCCGTCTTCTTTTCTTTTTTTCTTTTTTTTCTTTTTTTTTATGAATTGTCCTGTTTTCTACAAAAAAATCGGGAAACGGGCCCGTTGTCCCTTCCAAAGAAAACACCAGGCCGAGTTCCGGATCCGGCAGCTCCGGCCGGATACAGTTCCGGACTGCTTCTTTTCTTCTCCTTCTTTTTTGTTTTTTTTTCCTTTCAAACATTTTTTTTTCTTTCAAACGTCAATGC